AGCAATCGGAGTGTGCCGGCAAAAAAGGGGGACATGAAAGAATCAAATGTTCGTAAGGTAACAGACCTAAACCAAACCAGACTATTGAGCGAGCCTAACTGAACATGCTTGCGCCGATTACAAGATTTTATGCAAAAGTTTTCAAATGGGAAAATATATATATTGCTCAGACTAATATGGAATCAAGAAAATCAATTATACCGTATTGAACTCTCCCACAAATGGAGTGCCATTAGTATGCCTGCCCTCTACCTCGAGAAGGCCGGGTTGCCCTTCAGCTTCTTTTGGAGCCTTCAATTGACGTATCTGAAATAATTAGTTACATATATTAGGCTTATGCTTACTAGAGCAAAAGTAGGTTAAATCTAGCATATAACATGAAAAACATTAGCTCTTTATAATGAATATGCAGATATGCATAGCATACAATTCCATCATCAACTTAGCGAAGCGAACTTGTATAAAAAGATTGAGTCGTCTTCTCAATGCTGAGAAAAATTGATCGATATCTGCAAATCTCTTAAAGAGAAGCCATTAATCTGCGTTTATAAGTAGGTTCCCGTTATTTCATCTAGGGTGATATGGAAAAGACCAAGGCTTGGTAGGTTACGTGTCGAAACTTTACGCTGTGTTACAGGGGTTCGAGTCCCGTTAGAGGTGCTAAGACATGGGTGAGATGGATACTGCAATCATCTCCGGATGAGAATAACTTTTGGGAAGCAAAGCTATATAAAATTTAATGGAAACGTGAGGCCTATGATTATAACTGTGGGAAAATTGAACTATCTCTCATGTAAACCATTAATTGTTTTTGCATAGAAATGCAGAATTATTTCATGGAACCGTTTCGCCGGTACCTACCCCATAGCAAAACTTATCTGTTGATCGATAATCAGTATAAAGATTTAGCTAAATATTAACTACTGCTTAATGACTCAAGCTCAGTAAAGCCCAGCAGGCAATCCTAATAAGAGCAAATGACTTCAAGGAATCCAACACAAAAGTGATATTTTTTAGTAAGCTAGACAAAAAAGAAAAGCCTCTGGGATGTAGTAAACACAAATATCTGATTTCAAACCCAGGTGCATCAGCTAATTTTTCTCCTAACTTAAGGACAAATTGAAGATAAATGGAACCCAATAGTCAGGTGGATTAAACGACGTAATAGAAATTCAGTCGAAACATTATAACTAAAAGTATAGCCAAGGATATTTTAGGCGCGACAAAATAGTAGGCTTAAGTGAAAGTAAGGTGGATATGAAACAAAGGCAAGAACATGTCCGAAGTATCCTAGGACAAGCTATATAGGCAAGATGATATGCTAGAAAAGGTTATTATGGACCCCTATGAATGACCATAAAGGAAGAAAAATGGCACGGCAGTATGTTTAAAATATCACAAATATATCTTACAGCTGTGGGTACGCATTGCCTGATGAATTTCGTTCCATGTTTCTCCATGTAAGCGCCTGCCATTTGAGCCATTAATTGATCAAAGCCCCGAAGTAGAATGGAACGAACCATTACAGTAGTATCATAACCCAAGGATGTTAAAAAGCCCGCACATTCAAGGGCCACGTAGCTGGCCCCGATCACTAAGGTTTTACCAGGGTTGTAGGGGAGAGAAAACAGATCATCACTGCAAGGAAAAATGAGAGACAAGACTATAGTTAGTAATAGTTTAGTCTACGTGAAGAAAATGCAATGTAAACAGATAAAAAGACAAAACAAGAAAAAACCTGAAAGGAAACTTGACGTTGAAATTATAAAATTGGTCAATTCTGACAGAGGAATTGCAAGAACAAGAAATACTTAGTAAGTAAATCACCTAGCCGCAGTGAAGCCGACGCTGCATTCAACCTGAGGAAGTAGGCAAAACTCCTATTATACTTAAGTATCTATTTTCATCGAAAGAGCATGAATAAAACATCATAAAAAATAAATACTGTAGGAGCAGAAAATGGTATCAAGTATAATGCAAAATGAAAATGAAAAAATTGTTAGTCTACCTGGTAATGCAAAATTCCTTGTCACCAGAAATGCCTGGATAACGGGGACGTTCACCCGTAGCGAGGATAACTTTGTCAGCAGTAATTATTGTATCCTTTCCGGTCTTATCCACAGCCTAAAAAAGCAATCCATGCATTAAAAAAAGGAAAGAACGAGAGATGGAAAGAATCGTATTATCTTCAGATCGACTTATAAAAGTCTGAAGTGCACTCACATATCTGAACAAGACCAGACATATCTCCAAAAATAATAAAGGGTTTAAGTTGCTCAGACGAGGTCTTTTTATCCACTAATAACAATTTAAGTACTATTCGAACATTAGAATGTGGTAGAGGTATCAACCGCTTGAAATAAAAAATGTATGAAAATGGGCTAATTGAGAATACAGCCAAATGTTTTTTGGAAAATTGGAGGTGTGAACGATGACGATTCGAATAGCCTGTAGGCCTAGCTGGAATAAGCTTTGCTTTGAAGTTATAGGATCCAAAAAAGTAATTCAGAGGTAATAAAACTCAACAAAGACGTAATTTACCCCCTTTGTAAAAATTAGTCTTAACTTTAATATATCGTCGTATAGAAAGTGTTTGACCTCGTTTTCGCAACTTGGTCATTTGGACAGAAAGAGTCAGAGGAAGACAATTTGTCCGGAGTCCATAGTATGCATGATAATTTCCAGTAGGACAATGGGCTTGGTACATTACCAGACGTTTCGCCGGCTTCGCCAATGAACCTTGCGATTCTTAGTACCAGACCACAACTCGCCAGAGACAAGTGAAGTCAAGCTTTTGAATAATTATCTGGTAAACAGTTTTGGTACCTCCCCTTACCTTAAGCTGCATTTCCTTATTGTATATCCTTATATCATCCCTTTTTTGCTTGCTGACAGGTGTGTGCTGATAGGTGTGAGACATATTCACATACCCCACTAGTTCTCTCATTCTTACCCTATGCTGATTGTTTATCCGAATATTACTTTTCAGCAATAATCTTGATCCAAACCCCTATAAGTCCTTGTTTTGTCCCGTGGGATACGTCTCATATCTTTATGGTACAGTGAGATTATAGAAGTGTTCCGTGAAGTAAAGCTTTGATCACGAGATTTACCCTGTGCAAATACTGAGCAGTGATAGGGTAAGTTTCAGCGTCAAATTATTTTTTAACCCAGACATTAAAAGCCTGCTCGGTGAGGTTGGAGTAGACGAACTATCAAAGGCTTGAGGCAGTGCAGAACATGATTCAAAAGTATCATAGATATGAAGACAGTGATTAAGTAAAATTACTAAAGCAAAAATAAGTGACGGATTCTATGAGGCAAGTAGATTTTGATAAGAAAAGACCCCTTTATGGATATCTCCAGCAAATTTACACAGCAAGGTCAGCTCAATAATCAGAAACTAGAATAAGCATCAAAACCAGATACTTCTCACATTTTAAATAATTGTGCCTATGTACTACACTATTATGGTTTAATGTAAACGGTTTTAACCTAAACGATGCCAAATTAAAATGAGCGTATTTCGATAAATTAAAATGCATCCATACCTTAATAGTGTGCGGATCAATAAGTGTGCCGTAGGCGTTAATATAAGTTACAGACTTCTCTCGAAGGGCAACTCGATAGCCCCAATTAAGAGAACCAATATGATTCTGTATTTCTTCTACCATCTTTAGCCAATCGTGAGTTTCTGAAAAATGTAATTAAAACAGAACCAAAGTATTGTGTGATCTTCTAATAGTAGAAAATATTAATTGAAAAGTATTCCTAGGAAAGAGCTAGGGC